GCTGGGGAATTCTGGGAGTTGAAGTCCACACAGCTTGAAGTTGCTGAGGTTGAGAAACACTCAACTAGACATTTTAGCTTAGCATTGTTCACACTGATTGTTAGGCATTTGCTATGATTGACAAGTGTCTTTCCCAGTCATATCTGGGAGGCTGTGATTTATTACCAGGACGTGCATCCTCTACAATGCAGCTCTTCTGCATTTCCCATTTTTTTTTCAAATGGGTCCTTGCTCGTTTGGGCACCCTGCTAAGGGACAAAGCTGCTCCTGAAAAAGCCTTAGCTGATTCATCAGATGGCGTGGTTAATGCATTTTGCCTAAGCTTGCACAAGAGGGGCATGTTTTATTTTTAGGCTTGGTCCCACCAACACCCACATCTAGAACAGATCCAGAGAGATCAGCCCGTTCAAGATTTGCACAGCAGAGGTTTGCGTGGGCCAGGTTGCATCGGCTCAGGTTGGCCATCTTGAAGTTGATGTACCGGAGATCTAAACGAGAGAGGTCTGCTCCGCTAAAATTTAAGCCCTGGGGAAGACAAGAAGAGCAGTCAGGTTATGTTTCTGAATTCAAAACCATTGTTTCGAGTCTGAAAGGGCTGGATCTGATTATCCAACTCAGAACAACTCTTCTGAATGGGAAACTTTTGGATCACCCGTTCTCTACATTTTGCAACCTTTGCCCAAAGCACTTCAGCTCAGAAATCTGACAGCAACAGCCCAGGAGATAAAGTGGCTAACGTAACCCAGAGCAGAAGTGCAGTCAGCGTGCAATCAAGGTTTGTCTAAAGCAGGCCTGCACAATCTGTGGCCCTCCAAGCAGCCTTGTGGGTTTTAAAACGGATTCATTTTTTAATAAAGCGATACAAGTAAATGTTTTTTAAAAAGTCAAACATTCATTGCCGCTGCCCTGAAAGACACGTTGCCGAGGGTCTCCAAGCCTCCGCGCCACTACCAGCTCCTATGCTGCTGCTGAACAGCTGATCAGCATGCCAGCTGTTGGGGCCAAAACCTGGCTCACTGAAAGCAAGCAAATCCCTTTGAAGATACAACATAATTTTATTGGCAATAATGCAGTATACACTGGACCCCCAGCTAAGCTTTGACACTTTGCTGAGCGTCCATGAGCAAAGGCAGAACCAGGGCTTAAATACCTTTGGCCCACAACATTGCCAAGGCAAGACAAAGAAAATGGCAGACACAATGGAAATCACAACATGAGGTTATTTGGAATGTTTTAGATAAATAATAAGGTCCCACAGATGGGTTTATCACAGTGTTTCTCAAACTTGGCAACTTTAAGATGGGTGGACTTCAACTCCCAGAATTCCCCA